GATAGATCTTGCAGTATCTAATTGATATTTTAATTATTTTTTGCGTCACACAAGATATATTTCTTGGTTTCACTTTGTATACATTCTATTATATATCTTTGTATACATTCTATATCATTTTGACAGCTGTCATAACCGCTTGTTACACGCATTCATAGATAGTAGACCGCCTTCCGAAAAATTCCGAAAATCATCAAAAAAATGTGCAACAACCTCTGTGTCCATGACTATACTAGCTGCATTAGTCTGGAGTCACTGCCAGCAATACAAGCACTAGTGTATGTACACTAGTTCAGCCACAGAAAACAGATCTTGTATAAATAGTGCGAGAATTCATGAGTAATAAAACGATAAAAATATATAAATGATATATAAACATAACTAACATAAGTTAAGGCTGATGAGAGTCAAGCACAGGTGATCAGGTGTAAGATCTTGAAATAATGAAATTTACGTATATTCTGTTGATAAATTATGTCTTCTTTATTTTGAATGTTTCAACTCGTTTTGGAGGCCTCTTCAGCAAAGTAGAAATACAAATGAAATGCTTGCATATCCAAAAAGGTTATATCACTCACAAATTGCCAGGATGAAGTGATGTAAAATCTGGCGATACAAGAAAATTGATTACTATTGAAGAAAGTAATACATTAAAAGTGAAGTGATTCACCTTTGTGGGCAGAGTGTCAAGAAGCTTAGATAATTGTTAACAGCATTGCGACTTATATAAAATCAAGAGAATAGACATAAAGATCGGCAGTGTCTATAATACGTCCATATGTTAGGAACATCGCAATCACATTAATGGGAATACCAGCAGTCAATCAGTAATTACAGACCACCAAATTAATTATAATCACAATTTCGATTGGGAGAATGTAAAAATTTTGAACATAGAAAAATTCTTACACAAAAGATTGATTTCTGAAATTTCACATACACTTGCAAAAAAATGGTCTTAATAAATGTTCTGATACTGAGGGACTGCATCATGCTTATGCATCCATGCTAAATAATTTTCAATTCGGCCAATTGTCATAATATGAATTTTGTTTTGTGTGTGTTCTAACATCTTTATTTATTATTATATTTAATTGTCACAATGCGAATTTTATGTTATGCTCATGTACTTTTATATTTTATTTTTAATGCCTAACAAGAATATTTATGATGTGACCTTTTGTTATTTTAATATTGTTGTAAACGTGTGACATGTCCTAACATATGGACGTATTACAGACACTGTCGATCTTTATGTCTGTTCTCTTGATTTTATATAAATCGCTGTTAACAATTATGTATCTAAGCTTCTTAACACGCTCTCTATCCACAAAGGTGAGTTACTTCACTTTTTAATGTATTACTTTCTTCTATAGTAATCAATTTTCTTGTATCGCCGGATTTTATATCACTTCATCTCTGCAATTTGTGAGTGACACAACCTTTTTGGATATGTGAGCATTTAATTTGTATTTCTATTTTACTGAAGAAGACTCCAAAGCGAGTTGAAACGTTCAAAATAAAGAAGACATTATTTATCGACAGAATACGTAAATTTCATTATTTCAAGATCTTATGCTTGATCACCTGTGCTTGACTCTCATTGCCTTGACTTATGTTAATTATGTTTATGTATTAAAGATTGAGAGTCCCATATGATTATTATTGTTTATATAAATGATAGTAAGCCTTACATAACATACAAAAACATTTTGTATCTTCATTATGTTTAATTAAGAATTTTTTTAATGGTGGAATTACTTAACACTTTCATTTTCATCACACGAATCTAATATTTTCATGTAAACAATATGGGACGCCATTTTTATCTTGTATTAGAACGTTTTTTATTCCTTGCTTGCACGCTTTGTAGTGATTCGAATTGCGCGCCAAATTGGTTTTTCGGACTTATAAACGCAATTAAACTACTGTAGTAACATCACAAATTAAATTGACAAGCAATTTTAATAATTTGATGCCTCAATAAGGCAAAGCACAACATTTTATTGCTAGATTCTTTCGTTTCATGCAAAAACGTGTCGAATGAGCATAATTTCATTGAAATTAAAGGCGAGGACCGTCTTCTGGACAATTACCTTTATTTGCTTTAAAAACACAAATTCTCTGCTTTAAAAAAATTTTCTGCTTTAAAAACAAATTTTCTACTGTAAAAACAAAAATTATATAGAAAATAATTTGTATTTTTAATAGGCCTCAATCAGGCCTATTAGAAATGCTTAAATTTTAAGTATTAAAAGATCTAGCTTTGATCGTTATGGCCATTATTTTTTATTTTCTATTTATTAAGTTTTCAAATGTACGGTCGAATAAGATTCTTATTATTTATATAACGTCGCCTGAAAAAAAGACGTATACTTACCGACTAAAAAGTTGCAACAGATTTTTTTCTATGATTTTCGGAATGCAGCCTACTCATCGAGCAATTGGTTTTTACTTAAGGATCCATATACGGTAAGAACGGTTAAGTAAGAACTAATCTGTGAATGTACTACATACAGTGATTATTGCGAAGAATATTATTAAGGCCTCGGTAGTCTAAAGGCTTAGGACGCTCGCATTTAATGCAAGAGATTCGGATCTGACTTCCGGCCGAGGTAAAATTTTTCGCAATAAATTTACAGTCTTTCAGTACATCTTTCTAGCAGAATGCCTGATTGACCATCAAATTATTAAAGTTGCTTGTCAATTTAATTTGTGATATTATTACAGTAGTTTAATTGCATTTATAAGTCCGAAAAACCAAATTCGGCGCGTAGCTCAAGTGACTACGAATATGGTACATATGCATGTACATATAATACTTCATATTGAATTATTTAAGCATTAAAAGATCTAGCTTTGACTGTTATGACCATTATTTACTATTTCCTATTTGATAAATTCTCTGCTTTATAAATACAAATTTTCTGCTTTAAAAATACAAATTATTTTCTATATAATTTTTGTTTTTACAGTAGAAAATTTGTTTTTAAAGCAGAAAATTTTTTTAAAGCAGAGAATTTGTGTTTTTAAAGCAAATAAAGGTAATTGTCCAGAAGACGGTCCTCGCCTTTAATTTCAATGAAATTATGCTCATTCGACACGTTTTTGCATGAAACGAAAGAATCTAGCAATAAAATGTTGTGCTTTGCCCCGCGAACCGAGATATTAAGCGTTAAAGTTAATTACTAAGACTATTCAGATTAGGAAATTTATCACAGCCATGCAACAGTGCAATGTGAGCAAGACGAATGAAAATTGATGAAAAGTGTGTAGGTATATGGAAACAGTACGTCCATCTCATACAAAAATATGTGGTGGCTTAGGTTATATTTTTCGGAGTGGAGCGCCCCGTAGGGGGAGGGGACGGAACGTACTGTCTCCATATACACACATTTCATAAATTTTCATGCTCACATTGCACTGTTGCATGACTGTGACAGATTTCCTAACCTGAATAGTCAACTTTAACGTTTAATATCTCAGTTCGCGGAGCAGAGCACATTTTATTGTCAGATTCTTTCGTTTCATACAAAAATTCGTCGAATGAGCATAATTTCATTGAAATTGAAAATGAGGATCATCTTCTGGATAAATACCTAAACAAATACCTAACCAAAACAAATTCTGCTGCAAAAATAAAAATTGTATAGAAAATAATGTGTTTTTAAAGCAGAGCATTTGTGCAATTGAAGCAGACTCATTCATGGTGTAATAAAGAAGTGTGCTCGTGAGAGCACACCAAATTTTGACCCGTTCTGCGCATACCTATGTGGCATTGGAACAAGTCGCTTTCCATATTGGAAAACGATAGTAAAGGAGAGAGAGAGAGAGAGAGAGAGAGAGAGAGAGAGAGATTGACGTGTAATGTTTTTGTAAAAAAAAAATGGTGGCATACAGCATTATGGGGTGTAAAAATCGCAGAAAATGCGAAAGTAAAAAAATGAAGTTTTTTTTCGCTTCCAAAAGATAGTGATATTGCGGTAAAGTGGATGGAAGCTTGTGGCAAGGAGATTAATCTTAAAAATAGTAGATATAAATTATAAATTAAATGTTATTATTTACAAATTTATATTATTTATATCTTTTTCTAATAAATTCTAATAAACTATTTCATTAATTTATCTTTACCCTTTTCACATATATAAATAATTTAATAATATTATTATTATTAACTAGAAGGGATTTATAATAATTATTAATAATTATATATATATAAATAATAAAGTCACAATAGTAGTGCTCAACAAAATAAAGTTATTATAATTGTCATTTCCTTATTTAAATTATACCACATTTTGAGTATCGCAGAAAAAACGCTGATTGGCTGATATATTGGTTACGTTCAGCAGATTCACCTGTTGTGCAACCGTTTTATGATTGTCTGCTGAGATAGGATCATTCTTCTAGATCTAAAAGTATAATCAAATCAGTGTCAAGAAAACTTCCAACAGTTGCAAAATAAATGTTCTGCTGAACGCAGTCATTTATATGGCCAGTCACATGTTCCACTATCCTCATTGATTAATCATTTTGCGCAACAGCACCTCTTCTTTATTACACCATGAAAGATTATTACACCGTGGACTCATTCTAGCCTCACTTACATATTCTCCTGTCCCTCTATGCCATCGATGTGACAGATTTCCTAACCTGAATATGTCAACTTTAACAATTAATGTCTCGGTTCGCGGGGCAGAGCGACACTTTCTTTTGCCAGATTCGTTCATTTTGTGTAAAAATGCGTCGAATGAACCTAATTTTATCAACATCGAAGGTGAGGAGGTTAACTCAATCATTATCGTCAACTTTAACCCTTAATATTTTGGTTATCGGAACAAAGCGACGCTTATTTTTACCAGATTCTTTCGTTTCATGCAAAAACAAATCTAATTTTATTGATTTTTTTAGATGCTGCAGCTAAACTGCTATAATTGCTATTTTCAAAAAGAATTCTATTCACTGAAACAACCTTTCTAGAAGCAAATTAATTTTTTTACCCATATAAATAGGTGCCTTCCCTTGCCATCCTTGTAATAAAGAGCATGCACAGGAAGTTCCTCTAGACTAAGAATAATTCTTGCCTCGCGATCTGATGAAATACTTCGTAAATGCGCAACTCGCGCTGTGATGGGTACAATCTCACCAATTGTTTGTATGGTCTGTATACAATTCTCTCTACAATAATCAGGTAAAGTCGCGTATCGATGAATATCCTCGATCAAAATCGGGATATGCGGGATATCAGATGGTAAATAACTCTCACGAACAGCCAAACTCGACAGCCAAGTAGAAGATTCCAGATGCATCAGTTCAATCTGTTCCATGCCACTGATTCCACCGACCATCATGGAAATACACTAGGAGTGCGTTGACTGTTCCACTCAAAGCTGGGTACAGAGCGAAACCTGAGAGAGAGGACATGACGGCCCAAAACCTGTAACCACAAAATGCTCGCGCTCACTACTGCCCTCTGAAAAAGTAGATGTTAACTACTTATTAGCAAGATCCACTTTTCTGACGATACATACATCCACTTTTCAAGATTGCAGATAATAAATCGATATTTGGTTCTTATAATCATGCTACATCCATAAACTGTGGATCAGAAATATTCATCTCTGCAATTTTATGTATGTCTACTTACATGCGCGTGATTTTTTATTTCACTTAAAAGTATTAACATTAAGCTGGTTCTACATTAGTGGCATCGTAGTGTCGCAAGCGTTGCGGTCCAATCAACGTCTAGCTCGACTCTGATTGGACTGCAACGCTTGCGACGCTGCGATGCGATCAATGTAGAACCAGCTTTAAGGATATATTACACCCATTTTTACAAATGTATTAATATTTATATTTTAAATAAACTATACACATATGAAAGTTTCAGGCATTTTATTTTTATTGAATTTTTATAGTTTATTTACTTTATTTGTTACTATTTTCTTATTACAATATTAAAATTTGAAAAGCATATCATGACAAAATTAATCTAAACTTTTTTATGTAAGTACTTTAAGTATTTAAAATGCAATTATAAGTTTCGTTGTGACACAAGGATTAGGTGTTTTGTAAATAAGGGAACAATATATTTTGGTAACAATAAAATAAATTAAAAGAAGGGTTGACAAGCCAAACTGATTAATTATATGTGCTTGTAATTATAAATTTTTATACACAAAAATAAAACAATGTCAGAGTTTCAACCTGATATATTTTGTTTATTTACAATACAATATAACCAATTTCTGTATTGTAGTGAAACTTTACATAATATATCGTAAGAAACGACTTATGTAGTTAGATATTTTTAGTTCCAATTGGCGCTATGGATGCGAGTGCAGTCCTTCTACTTCGTCGTTGGCCAATACTTCTGGCTCCGCGTAGCGAGCTCCTGATTGGAGCGTTCTAGCGACAACGGCAAGAGATTGTGTGTGTGAGCGTGTATGCGAGTAGCTCTCATCACAGTATAACTACAATAAGTTATACTGTGCTCTCATGCTGAACGGACGTGTACAACGTGTCTTCCCGCATTTAACCGAGAAACAATAAAGTGCCTCTTGTTATACGTGTTACCTCTCGTATTCATTACAACCTAGTGCTCATTACCCTTATGCTCTCCCCTCCTAGAAGTTTTCCTGACATACTTCACAGTTCATATCGCCATCTCCCGTATTTATTGACGGGTGATTTCCTGCATTTTCCTAGCTGTCCCTAGGCTGTTTTAACCTGAGTATCTACTCCTACCTTACACACGCACGTCCGCCCGCCCGCACGCACGCCCGTACGCACGCCCGCACGCTATGGTTGCGTTCAGCAGACTC